TCCTTCTTCAGCCTGACGGCTCCCCGAACCTCTGGTGTCCACCAGCGGGTACGGGGGTTGCCACCACGACTGGCACCGGCCACCTTACGACCACAGCTAGCAACAGCCGCCTCGACAATCGCAGAGTGGAACAAGGCCCACTCGGACTCAATGTCCCCCACTGCTCTCGGGACGTGGTCAAAGCTCTGCCGGAGGTGGGAGTTGAAGACCGTCTTGACAGGTTCTTCTGCCAGGCGTTCCCAGCAGACCCTCACTATGCGTTTGGGTCTGCCAGGTCTAGCGGCATGTTCCCTTGCCATCTGATCCAACTCACCACCAGGTGGTGATCAGTTGACAGCTCCGCCCCTCTCTTCACTCGGGTGTCCAAAACATACGGCCGCAGGTCAGATGATACGACTACAAAATCTATCATCGACCTGTGACCTAGGCTGCCCTGGTACCAAGTGTACCGGTGGGCCTCCTTATGTTCGAACATGGTGTTCGTTATGGCCAAACTGCGGCTTGCACAGAAGTCCAATAACAAAACACCGCTCGAGTTCAGATTAGGTGGGCCGTTCCTCCCAATCACACCCCTCCAGGTCAAGCTGTCATTGCCCACGTGAGCATTGAAGTCCCCCAGCAGGACAATGGAGTCCCCTGATGGAGCACTGTCTAGCACTCGTCCCAGGGACTCCAAAAAGGGTGGGTACTCTGAACTGATATTTGGCCTATAAGCACAAACAACAGTCAGGACCCGTTCCCCGACCCGAAGGCGCAAGGAAGCTACCCTCTTGTCCCCCGGGGTAAACCCCAACACACAGGCAGAGAGTCTCGGGGCTAACAAAAAGCCAACCCCAGCCCTCCGCCTCTCACCCGGAGCAACTCCAGCAAAGTAGAGTGTCCAACCCCTCTCCAGGTCTCGGGTTCCAGAGCCAATGCAATGTGTCGAGGTGAGTCCGACTATATCTAGCCGGTACCGCTCAACCTCTGCCACAAGCTCCGGCTCCTTCCCCGCCAGCGAGGTGACGTTCCATGTCCCAAAAACTAGTTTTCTTGTCCGGGGATTGGACCGCCAAGGCTCCCGCCTTGGTCTGCCACCCGATTCGCATTGCACCGGACCCTTCATGTTCCTCCTGCGGGTGGTGGGTCCACAGTTGGACGAGCCCATGTATCCGGTTCGGGCTGGGCCCGGCCGGGCCTCATGGGCGAAAGCCCGGCCACCAGGCGCTCGAACACGGGCCCCAACCCCAGGCCTGGCTCCAGGGTGGGACCCCGGTAACCCTCCGGGCCGGGTACTCAGACTCTTCGTTTTAACCTCCATGAAAGATCCTTCGAACCATGTGTTTTCATGTGTATTAATGTGCTATTATGATGGCCAACAGCGCTTTGCTTGACCTTTTAGCCATGCGACTACACTATACATATAAAGCTGAACATGAACGTAATTGGAAACATTTTTACTTTCTAACAGAAGCATTATAAAATAGCCAAAAATGTTGCTGCAAGTGTTGTTTATTTTGAGGACTGCATAAACCAGTAGCTCTTCAGATGATTCAGTCTGAATTTCTTCATCCAAAAGCAAAAAATGTCATTATTGAAACATTTCAACAGGGGAAAATAAGTCATTTTTAAGCAATTATTTTCGTTTTCAGTCCGGCAGGTGCCTTCTGATTGCTTTAGAAAAAGTAATATACTTTTAAAAATAAAAATGCATTTTATGATCTTAGCAAAAACAATGGCTAATTGAGATTTATAGTAGGCAGAAGTGCTGCAATATAAAGTGAATAAGCAATTACTATGCAGCATTTCAGCTGCACACACACACACACACACACACACACACACACACACACACACACACACACACACACACACACACACACCAAACATATCCTGCTGTGTGTGAGAGTCGTTTTAACGTTTGTCATGTAAAGTCCACCTTCAGATAATTTTCTATGGTTGTTCTATGGCTACTAAAAAACAACTGCCTAATCTGAAAAAAAAAAAACACATTTGCCAAAGATTGGCCAATCGCTGTGGTTGCACATGGTGGTTTGCATACTTGAGTCACTCTGTGATACTTAAACTATTTCTGTAACAAATCTTATTTATGTCTTGTTTTTAATGCTTACTTTTTCACATGTGTTAAATCTGATGCAGAACATTTATGCAAAACCTTACAAAGGCATTCTAAATAAATGGGGGGGGCATAGGCATCAGCAGGAAATCTGCCCCATATGGAACTGTTCTATGATGATACTCATCAAGCAGGAATGACTAAACTACCATGTGCAGTAATTATGAGAATATTACTTCTCATTTCCCTAAAGCAAGAACGTGAGTGGGGTTGAATTTTATCGTGTTGGTCAGAGCCGTGGCCCCAGCTGTAATCCTGAAGAGTTCCAGAGTAATATATTCTATTACACCCAAAGCCACAATTTGATCCCATTACACAATTACACAGAGCACACTGAGTTGGAGAGGCAGTACGATGGATTGTGCTGCCTGCTTCACAAACGTGGTTACGGTCATACGCTGCAGTCCACCGCCAAGATGAGCTGATTTCATTCCAGCTTTGGAAACAAATAATTACGTCTCGTGCTCTGGTTTCGTCTGTTCCCATATAAACAAAAGGCTGAGCAGAAGTTATGTGAAACTAAGTGAGAGAATACTGTGCATGCAAATGAGTGCAGCACATCCACCCACGAGCTGTGGTATAATGCATTATTAACATATGCAAGCAGCTGAGGATGCACAGGAGACACCACAGTGTACACAACACACACACACACAACACACACACACACAGAGGTGTGACTGGGCTCTATACGCTGCTGTTGACACGGTGCTTTCCTAAGTCATTACACACAACAACCACACACTGCTGACTCCCTCCACACAGCGAGCATCCTGGGTAAAGAAGACAGGAGGGTGGCAGGAAGCTGCCCACCAGCCGAGCAGACAACCAGCAGCCCAACCTTTCATTGTCATCACCGACACACTTTAGGATGAGGAGAAAACACCGTCTCCACCAGCGTGGGAGCTGAAAAGTCCTCCCTGACCTGGATGCAACCCAAAACTATTCATCTAATTTGGGCAATTTCCCAGAAAAATGTGAGTCATTCCTCTGGATTGTTTACATTTTAATTTTCTCTTATCAAATAAACTTTGATTAGTTGGTCCACCTGAATTACCATTTGATTTAGTTTTATTGATTTTGCCTGACACAGGGTTCAGCTGAATTCAGCATTTTTTGCTCTGACAAACCAAAATGGGACCTCACTGTAGCGCTAATATCAATAGTAGTAATAATTCAGTGGATCCGCCTGCAGCAGTCTGTGATTTGTTCATCATATGAGCAAACAATAGAGAAATATAACGCTAACACTTAGGAGGCTAAATGCTGACAGACATCAAACCTTTGTGGACAAGGTAAATCAACACCAGTAAGATTTGGTTTTAAAAAAGTTTAGGTATCTATTATTGAATATTTTTCATTTGAACCCATTTCTCATTGTTGCTCACCACTGAAATGTTGTTCATTTATCTGTATTGGTGGCAAAGAAATCTCATGAACCACTGGATGGACTTTAGCAACACTCTCCGAAGGTTTTCAGAAGATGCAAATCTGCAGAATTTTGAAGTTGACCCAATTCAATATGGCTGCCATGGCTTGTAATCATTAGCAAACACTAAAATGGCTCTAACTTAGACTAAGTTGAAGCCATTTTCAGGTTTTGCAGGTTTAATGAAGTTGAATTTAAAACTTTTTAAGATCGTTTTCAGGTCACTTTGAACTTGGAACTGAAAGTGCTGAAAAATAGCACAAACATCAAGACAATCGCTCTGCAGAGAATGCAAGTGCGTGTATTTTCTAACAACCTGCACTTCTCCGTGGATCACAAGCTCACTAGCTGAGGCGGTTGATGTGCACACCTGAAAATAGCCCCCACACACACCTGAATTAATGTTAGTGGTTCTGTTCAGCCAGTCTCATATGCAAACGTGCAGCACGCAAATGAAATTCTCAGACTGGCAAATAAAATGAAACAATCTTGCTTATTGGGTCTGTGATATGTTAAGACCTTTAAAAAGCTTTGCACCCTGGTTATTTTTAAGGCCTTATTATGGAAAATCTAGGTTAAGCTTTGTTAGTCAAGATTACAGCGCTAAACACCAGTCGCCATTTTCTAGCTCCAAGCATCTGTTGTCACTTCAGATGGTGTTTTCCTTTTTGGGACTCTGGTTTGTCCTAAAGTTGAAGTGGTAGCAGCTGGCTGTTTGGCTGTTTCTCCTTCTCTGATGTTATTGAGCCAAGAACCTCTCACACCAGTGGTGTTCTGCTGCTAAATACGCAAGTGGGTAATGACAGGAGGACCAAAGGAAGTGCGGCGGTTTAGCGAAAAAGACAACAGGACCGTCCAGTAGTTGATTTCGGTCCAAAATGTGCTATTGGCAGAGTTTTTTAGACAAATGCAACAAAGTAATTTTATGTCCACAATATATTTATAGCTATACTATGTTAAAAGATTGTTAAGAAGCATAAAAAAATGCTCATTTGTTTTCCTACATTGCCGTTGCAGCTCTAAGGTTGGCCAATTTCTTACAAATCAAAAATTCATCCACAATCCACCTCATGGGACAAAATGACACTTCTTTAAACTCACCATCATCACTGACAAGGATTTTACTGCGATTATCTACAAAAGCACCACTTCAGTTCCTCTGGAAAAATAATACCTGGTTTCCCCTGCAACTGACGGGTGTCAGGAGGACAATAGCCTCTAGGTTGGTGCAATGTTTGGTCTGCAGCTCATCCCTCATAAAGTGATGAGGGTGTTTTTTAACCTTTGATATTTGAGCTTTACAAACCATTCCCCTTCCTGGTCTCTTAACCCAGATGACCTCACACTGTGTGCAGGAAATGATCCATCAGGAGTATGCATCGTTCTGTTTCAACGATTTCAAAACATTCTGATAAAAACTTGTTTTTAACCCTAAAAGAGATCGACCACCCTCACCTGCGTGAGCTCCTGCTGATCCAGCTCCCATTTCTTGATGCCGTTGTCTCTCGAGCCGCTGAACAGCACGTCTCCCTGCACGGCCAAGCATTCAATGCCATCGTAGTGCGGAGGCTCGAAGTTATGAGCTGGACCTATATTACCCAGAGTTCCCTCTGCAACGTCAAACACCTCAGGGAAAAAAGGACAGGAAGATAAGAAATTATTTATGATGTTGGTGATATTTCACTGACATAAAACATATGTGCGTGCGTGCGTGCGTGTGTGTGTGTGTGTGTGTGTGTGTGTGTGTGTGTGTGTGTGTGTGTGTGTGTGTGTTACCTTGACATAATGGTCTTTGGAGCCAGTGATGACTTGATCTTTGCCCAGTAGAGACTGTCCCACTGTCAGACACATGACAGGACCAATGTGGCCTGACAACTTGCCTGTTGCTTGCATCCTAGAATCACACACACACACATGCAGTGAGCGCCCACAGCAGCAGGTGAAGCAAAGGTCAGAGAAGTGTGTTACCTGCAAAGATCTGATTTTCAAAAGGCATATGTAACTAGATGAAGTCCTCTCTTGAGTTAACTAAAACTACTGAGAAACACAGATGCCACCGGCAGAGGATGCAGAAATGTTTAATGCATTCATTTTTCATTCTTCGGGCAGATTCTCACGCATCATTAAACAGTTTGGAGCCCCTCAGTGTAAACTCCCTGGTCCAATCTGTTTATCATTTCCTTTAGAAGAAAAATAAAAAGCTTAAGGGAATATGATGTTACCACAAGATGCACAAACTGGATCTTTGTGGGAAACATTGGCCCGTTTTATCTGACTGATCCCGAGTTTCCGCTCTGCCTGTTAACAGACTTAAATCCCTTCTCTAAGATTTTAACACATAAAATGTTCATGAATGTGACGACTAAACATTCAAATGAGTGAAAAAGTGATAAATATTTAAACACACAAATGACTGACTCAACACTTGGATCAGACACCAAACAAGAAGAGCGATTTATACTCTGACCTGTTTAGGTCAAACATTCGAACAATGTTTCCAGCTGCTGCATACAGCACGGATCCTGACGGGTTCAGAGAGATCTGGTTGATCTGGCATTCGCCCTGAGCAAAGGTGATCGTACGGGTGGTCGTACCAGCACATGCGTCCCCCGAAATCACTTGTCCTGATGACCTATCGGGGTCAAGAGAGGACAAATCATGTCAGAGAGAAGATGAGACAAGAAGATGGTCATAACCTTATGAAGATGTAACCAGTTCAAGTTGCCACTTTACTTCCACTTAAAGCACACGGCTGAATATTTTTTAATCGATTTTGGTTAATCTAAAAGACTTACGTGAGAGTGCGGATACATTTAGCTGAGTCTCGGATGTCCCACACCTTGATGTAGGAGGTGGAGACTGAGAAGACCAGACCAGAGGAGGGGCAGTATTTGGCTGACACCACGTTGTTTGGGTGACCTTTGAGGGTGGCGATCTCCTGACCAGTTACCAGATTCCACATCTTACAGGTACGATCTGGATCAAAGCAGGAAAGATGGACAGAAGTTTAAACTGCAAACTAATGAGTAATAAAACAAAAGTGGGACAAACTTATAGCAAAAATCTAAGAATTGGTTTGATTTGACTTCTACTGTTTAAAACAAACAGCTTCTCCGTCTGGAGGAACTGGCCTCTCAGACTGGATTTCAGTGTCTCTTCCATCACTTGTTCTGTGACAAATATTAATGATGTCGAAAGGAAACGTGATGGCAGCTTTGAGCACAATTAACAAGTTGCATAGATAACACGTCCTGGACACTGGAATGAGTTTATTTAGCCAGTTCAGGTCAAGTCAGAAGGTGAGGGCCTGCTGCAGCTACGTTTTAACTGTCATCCACTTCAGCACCCTGAGAGTCTACGCAGACTTTGCCTGTTAGTTTAAGTAGACCTTGATAAACCAGCCGATTACATCATTCTGCTCACAGAAACTCAGACTTAATTACTTACAAAGGAAAGTCCACACAATCGGTCCAAAATATACGATCTGAAAAATGATTCTTATTTGCAAACAGACTGAAAAGATTGTGACATGACTCACAATTTGTAACACATTTTAGGATTACAGAAAGCAGCGCTTGCTTTTATGTGCAGGTATGAAGCCTGATGGATCCAGTTAGTTCAGACAACAAGTGGGTCCAAGACTTTAGGGATTAGAGGTGTGTGTCATTAATAATCTGGCAATAGGATGCCTGACAATATTTGCAAATTTTAAAACTAAATTAATTTGGAACACTTAGGGCAGCTACTTCCAAAGTACATACAGCATTATCGCAGCGTTATCGCGAAATCTAGTTGTTCCATCGGAAATCTGCCAGTGGAAATGCACCCATCCACTATACCGGGGGTCGGCAACCCGCGGCTCTGGAGCCGCATGCGGCTCTTCCATCCATCTGATGCAGCTCTCTGTGCTTGTAAAATAATGAATGGATATTTAAATAAAATGCTTTATATTTTACTGCATTAATTTTACATCTGTATGCCAATTCTAAATGTAAAGATTGTCTGCGTAAACCTGAACAGTTCCAACCCGGTCTTACTGTGAGACCGGGTTGACGGGTCATAGGCGCTTTCCAAACTGAAGAGGATGTGAGATTCTGGGATTCTCCTCAGATGGCTCCTGGATGTGTCGCCACATTGGAGACAGGAACAAGCGCTATTCAGCCAAAGTTCCATAATCAGGGAACATTTTCTAAGTGACAAGTCTCACTTCAGTTGGAGGAATCTCTGGTTCTGCGAGGCGCTCCAAGCCCCTCTCCACATCTTCAGCTCGCTGTGCACCATATGTATGCGCTGACAGTGAGCTGCGCTGAGCAGTGTCCAGCTCAGATGTTCAGATGGGAATCTTTTCTTGAGTGATTTAGCTACATCTGCGATGTGCGTAACGAATATAATGTCAGTTTGTCTGCATGCGTCGGGGTAATTCTTTCTATTCTTTCTCCGTCAAAATAAACGGTCAAATACGGGAACTATCCGTCAACACAAGCCCTGCTTTTAACTGTTCTGTTTTCTTGTGAAAATTGTTGCAAAGAGATATAATTTAACTTGATTAACAACAGAGCCAGGCGCACTGCGCCGTTATCTCCGTCACTGTAAATGAGGGAAAAACAAACTGATCGGATCCTTTTCTGACCTTCCCCACCTAAAAAAGTTTAATTACAACAATCAAACGTAACAAAGCCTGGATTTGTATTCTGAACAGTCTAAACATGTTTTAAAAAGAAACGTATGACAAAAGTGGCACCTGCTCAGTAAAACCACCAACAGGGTGAAAAATATCAAAATATTGTAGGCAGAGACGGGCTACAACTTCTGGATCCACTTTATATAAATCGTTTTATTGATTATCTTCTTATGAAAGATAACTGAAGTACACGAGCGACCGGTATTGGCTGCTGTCACCTGTTGTGATTGGTTAAAGTAGCTCTCTGCTGTCTGAGGGTAGGCCCCGCCCACAACGCCACGGCTGCTGTGGCTCCCAGTGTTTTCTTTACTGTGGGAAACGGGTAATAATGGCTCTTTGATGGGAACTGGTTGCCGACCCCTGCACTATACTGACGGCTAATTGCTGCATAGGATGCTTCGCAGACGTTACTCAAGGCCTACCTGTATGGTGGAAAGGCCTGATTACAAGGCTAGCAGACATACTACCCACATATTCTCACGTTGCTGTCTTTACCCTCCATGTTTGTATTTAGTTATAACTGCCATCAACTTTTACATCCTCTGTTTTTCTTCAATAGAAAGGACAACAGGTCCAACTGTTTTCATTTTGTCTTTCACACCTCAGAAGGCCAAGAAAAGGATCATCTATTCTGAGCCTGGTTCAGGTTCTACGAGTGTTTTCCCTCCCACTTTCACCCATTTCATTGTGCTTGCTCACTGTGGTGAACATGAAGGTTTGATGTAATCTGCTGGTTTATTAAGGTCTACTTAAACTAACAGGCATTTTATAATCAAATCTAATTCAAATTAGAGTTGTATTATACTGCCTGCATTCAACTGGCTTGAATCTGGACCGGATATAAATTGGATTTGGGTTATTTTTTGTTTGTTTTTTTGCAATTCTGTTGTAATGGTAAAATGGCCTGTATTCTGGTGCTATTAAAAATAATTTTAATTAGTATTGCCATGATAAATTAATAACTTTGTTGGTTTAAGTCAATAGTCAATGCATTAATAATCAGCACACCTCAGCATGCACTTTCCTCCTGTTACAGCAGATTTAAGATGGTAAATTTTCTTTTAATATCAGGTCCAACATTTCATCCAGCTGTGTGTCTACCTTTAGATCCAGTAAACAGCAGCTCATCAGTAGCATCCACACACAGAACTGGCTTCGAGTGGCCTTCGGCAACCGAGATGCACTGCAGAGGTGCGGTCCGACCCCCCTTCACACCACCGATGGGATTGATCACACCCCTATAGTTCACAAACACAGATAGTGTCAGGCACTACACAGTGTAAATCAGCGAGGGTGATTTCTGTCTAGAGTGGATGCAAAGCAAGAAAACAAGCTGATTGTGAGCATGCACACAGAAAATGCAAATGTGGTCTTAATTACAGAAGAAAACATAGATTCATACAAACCTTTGCATCTTCACAGAAGAAAACACACTTGAACTGCAGCTCTGAATTAGTGAAACCTACTCTACCTAGGCCATGCCGTTAAGTACCACTTGTTTAACACATTATTCGGTAGATTCATGTCCACACACTATCAGTAACACAAGATGATACACATTCTTCCTGGGTTAAACCCGGCTCTTCCATCTCTCCCTCTCTCTTTCTTGTTGCAGAGGAGCCCAATTATCTCACTACAACAGTAAGAGCTGCTTCCCCATTTCAGTTGTCTCTTTCTTTCTAACACACACACACACAGATGCTTCTTTATTACGCACAGTCAATCTTTCAAGCTGGACCACTGCTTTCACACACACACACGCACATAAAATAAGCACACACTCCCAATCTATGTCCCTCTGACAGGCCCAGGTCCCAAAACGCCTAGAGTGCAGTCAGCAGCGTGAGACAGAGCAAAGAGATAGAGAAGGCAAGAAAAAAGGGGGAGCTGTGGAAAAGAATTGGTCCCCAGTGGGCTTCACAGGTAGTGCACGTTGGTGTGCATGTGTGTGTGTGTGTGTGTGTGTGTGTGTGTGTGTGTGTGTGTGTGTGTGTGTGTGAGTGTGTGAGAGAGAGAGAGAGAGAGAGAGAGAGAGAGAGAGAGAGAGAGAGAGAGAGAGAGAGAGAGAGAGAGAGAGAGAGAGAAAGTGAGAGGGAAAAGTGCAAAAGACACAGAGAGCTCCAAGACGTTGTGAGGAAGTCAAAGAAAACTGTGACTGCACACTAAAATCAGAACAGATTAGTTCTGCACAGTGGGAGCAAAAAACTGAACGGTGTTTGTCAGAAATGGCAACAAGCTCCTTGTGTGTGCCAACTGAAACACACACACACACACACACACACTCCAAATCAAGAACCAACCTTTACATTTTCATTTTACATTGTTTCGAGTGTTAATGTCAGCTAAAACACGACTGTCTCATTCTCCAGCCAGTGAAAAGTGTAGCATGCATGGTTTGCCAAGTTTCAACCAAAAAAAAATAAGCACATCGTACAAAAACAAGTGATGGACACAAAACAAGCTCACAACAAGCGACTATTAACAAAAGCCACAGCTGGAAAACTAACTTCATGGGCAATAAAACTCAGCCCAGCATCTCAGGATGTCATCATCACCACATGCAGCAAACAGTGTGCTTTCCTGGAACTCAGGAGGAAGCTGATGCTCAGCAGCTCCTCAAACTGGGGCTCCTGAGCCGGAGTGGCACATTTAGGTGAAGCAGAGAAACTTTACAAGTCCATAACACAGTCAGGTTTTCAGTTTCTGCAGAGATGTTAAATCAGAGTGTGATAGCAGGCGTTTGAAGGGAGCTGAGTATCACAGGCAGCCTGACCTTCATTCTGCCTTTCACTTTAAATTGAATTTCCATTTTTATTTAAAACATTCCAGACTAAAAACCTGAGGTTTTTTTTTTTAGGATAAAACTTTTTTTCTTGGCACATCAAGAGTTAGATGAGAGCTGGGCATTTTTCCAATTTGGGTAAAGACAATCCTTGAGTACAATAAAAGCAGAAGAAAGAAGAGGGCATTAAATAAAGAGAAACCAAGAGTTGTGGATAGAGTATTAAATAAATACATCATATTAATCTGTAAATCTAATAATGTTGCATAACTAGTTTCATCGTTTTTTTATTAGTTTTGAATAAAAATTAACTGGAATTGTGTCTCAAATACATTATTATATTATAAATAAAACAAATACAAACTTTATATGTGTTCATATTTTTTTAACTGAACTAGTTATTGAGAAAAACTTTCATTGTTTTGGATACTTTCTCATATTTTTGTATATATTTTTTACCTGCAGCACTCCATATCCTACAAAGGTGTGACCCTACAAATGCCAGATATTGTTCTAGTTTTATCGGCGTCCGAGGACAACTCATCATCGGCTGCTGTGTTAACAGCTGCTGATGGATGTTGCAGGGTTAGGGTCTAAAAGAGCAGATCTAATGAGAACATGGAGGGAAATCGGCGTGTGCTCTCCGAAGTATGCAGAAAATTAAAAACAACTAAAGAGTCCTCCAAGAGATGCATCTATTTCTGTGAATGTGTTTGTGCCTGTTCGAACTAAACTAAAATTAACCATCTAAAAATCAGTTTGCATCATTTTTTTCAGTATAAAACATTTTCTGCATTAACAAAACCGGTCACATATTTTTCCCAGTTTATTTTTTATTCCAAATGATAAATGTTCTATAACAGGGGTCCTGAACTAAATTTGTTCAAGGGCTGGAGTGCTTTCCAGCAGACACAGTGAGGGCCAGATGATCTTCTAAAATAAAGTTAAAGTATTATTGTATCTTAAATTAATAACATTTAAAATGGCTTGTTTTCCATCTGAACTGTTTGTATTGTAGTTTTAGTTGTGTTTGAAAAACGTAAACAATTATTGATATTTGGGACATGAATTTTGCTGCTAAACTTTAAAGTCCCACAATTGGGGGGTGTTAAGCTTGGTTTATGCTTGACGCATTCACTTTCCGCTTGGTGATGCGGCTAGCGGATGGAACGCGCTTGAACAACTCGCCGCACTTATGGTTCATGCGGCTTGTCTCTGCGGTGAGCCAATATTCTCCCAAACTGTAGGGGGCAGCATGGAGCTCTACGGCATGCATCCAACACTACACCATAGTAGAAGTAGAAATTACTGTTGTTTACAACATGGCATTTCAGCATTTTTAACAGCGTCCTCGTCTTTTCCGACAGTGCGAGCTATTTCTCTCCAAGAATTATTAACAACATGTTGATCACGGTGATCTCTGAGAGCTGAATCATACAAATGTCTGTATTCACGAACCTCTGCCATACTAGTTCTTGCCGGTCCGCCATGTTTTTCCGCGTCCGACCGTCTGCGTGGTTAGAAAATTTCCTAGGTGCGCGGTGCGGAAATTTGGGCCGTGCGGAGGTGCGGTGGAGGGGCGTGGTTGTTAAAATTACGCAATTTCGCCGCGCGGACCTCGCGGACGCGTCAAGCATAAACCAACCTTTAGGAGCTGTGGGACCGAGTGGAAAGGTCTGGCGGGCTGGATGTGGCCTGCGGGCCGTCAGTTGAGGTTCACTGACCTACAGAAACAATGAACTAGACTGAGGCAAGCTAAAGGTTTTATTCAAATAAATCCAGTTGGCTTTTTTAATAAACATATTTTAAATAAGACATGTGAATGAAACTATAAACCAGTTAGGTGAAGGTTTTGAAGACTAGGTGAGTAGAAACTCTTTTTTAATTCTTCCCATGTGTGAGAGCTCCAGAGAAGTTCTGAAGAATGTGCAGCGAATCGAGTCTCCAGCTGCTGTTCACACGCTGTTCTTCACAGCAGCACATGGCCCTGTGTTAGCAGACGCACAGGCCAGCTCCTAGTCTGTAACTGGCCGATCTTATTCATGGACATAGCTAGAATATTCACAGGCTGCAGTGTGTGTATAGTCACTACTTGAGGGGTTGATCCCGGTTAGCTACTCAAGCAAAAGCACATTTAGGGAATTCCTGCATCATTTTTATGTTTTAGATTTCACCAGCAGCTTCCTATAACCTTCATATTTAAATCACAACTAAATTGTTACATCTCAATAAATTACTGACTATAAAAAAACAGCAGTCATCAGTATTTTGCTGGCTTTTGTAAAGATTAATAAAAAGATAAACAAAAACCTTCAGATGGATGCAGCTATGCCATTTCCCCTGTTAAATATAAACAGACCCATGGTATTGTATGATATGGATCATTTAATCTAATTCTTGGCAGGAAAGCCTCCATAAGAGTATTATTCAGCCATCCAGGTTATTCTTGTAATGATAAACTAATAATGCAAATTAAACCTCTGCCACACAAATAGGCCCATTTCACAGCAGATGATTCAACTTCAAAGTGTAGCACAGATGTTTTAGGTAGGGCTGCACTCCATTTAGAGAGATTTCTGCTTGTTAGAAGCAGAATGCATGGCTGCAGAGGTGGATTGCTGCCCTAGTTATTACACGAATGCTTTCCCTATTCCCTTGTATGGTAAGAGATCTCACACCAAACAGGCTGCTTTTAAAGCCATACCACGTCTACAACCTACGACAAAAGATGTGCATCTAACAAATCCTGCATTAGACCACAGAGAAACACAACCAAATGCAAAAAATTAAATAAAAAAATCAAGCTGTCTGTGATTCACACATGCAGCACACTGACCCCACCCATGACAAACTAAAAGGAGAGGAGGAGGAGGTGGGTGGACCATACGTGGAGACAAGACACCATGTGAGTTAACAAACAATATGGAGACGAAGAAAAAAAATACTGAGAGCGACACAATTCCTCTACCTGAGCACCTCGGAGAGCGAGGAGTCGCTGTCATCTGACCTGGAGGCAGAAGAGGAGCGAGGGGAAGGAGAAGGTGGGTCGAGGTGGGAAGAGGAAAGGGTTAACCACGCTGAGAAAAGACAGAAGGGTTAAAAGGGGAGGAGAAACTAGCAGAAAGGATGTCAAACTGGAGGGAAAGCTCAGCCAAACAATAAAGCTTGTCCAGTGATTTTAGCCGTCTTGTCATGAATGAGCTGCTTTTTAAAATTAGAAACACTGAACAGGTTGTTTGACCCACACCTGAGCTTTTAAGGGACTTGTCTCCAGTGGTGTTAGAACAAATGTTAAGGGTTGAAAGGTAAATCATTTGAGAGCAAGTATAAATAATTATTCTGGAGGTCACTAAACGTAGCTTAGCTTAGCTTAGTTTAGTTTAGTTTAGCTTAGCTTGGCGTAAAGCAAGAACTGATAATGAGCAAAAATGAGTCTGACACTGTGTAAAAGTAAAACCTAACATACATTTTTTTCATATGTTAAGCCCTTCTGATGCCTAAACTAAGAAAACACTAAAGCTGAGCTAATACCAAGCTAATGCTAAGCTAAGTGACACTGCATGCTGCCTGTTTTTTCCTTGTGTTCAATTAAACAAGACAGCATTGTCAATCCTCTCAAATGTTACACTGAAAGAAACTGTCATCAGTAATGATGCGAAAACCAAGCGGGCTTAATAGAAGAAGAGCGGCTGCCAAAGAGTAGGCGCTAATGCCCAATAGCGTTCCATAAAGGTCAGAGAACTGAGATGTTTTTCACATTTCTGAGCGTTGTCTCACTGTGACTCTCACGAAACAAATCAGGGAATTAGTACAGAAAAGGGACAAAGGATGTCAAACATTGTTAAGAAAGAGGAGAGTTTAGTTGATTAAAGGATAATTACAAAGGGGAGAAACCCATGCCACATCCAAACATCTACAACTATTTAAAGGCTAATTCTTTTTAATCTCAACAGCACATTAAAACCATTGACTGATTCAAACCAGTAGAAAGTTATAAAAAAATCTACACCCTCTGGTTGAAAGGTTTGTGTCCTCTGGGAATAAAATTAAACAATGATCAGTGATACTTACGGAAAGAACAACAGCTCAATCCATCAGTCCATTTTTAATCATTTACAGTCAGAATAAGCAGATCCTCACCATGAAACACTGTTCTGAGAAGTGGCTTATAACAGAATATAGGAATCAAAGCAACTTCACTGAACAGATAACAAGAAAACTTTGATTTTAGCCTCGTGGGAATCAGTCAAAAGGAAAAGTCGAAAACATCTCATTCCCTTTTAATGAGTTTTCTTTTTTATTTGGAAAGATGTAAAGTGCCACATAAAACGTGTCATCAGAAAGGAAGTTTGTATTTAAATATATTCATTTATATACATGTACAAATGTACAAAGATCAAAGGTTTTAACTCTAACAGGATAAATAATTCAGTTACCAGATGATAAATCCATCCATCCGTTTTCCGGAGTTGGGTCACCGGTCACCATTGGGCAGCAGCCTCTAAGCATAGAGGTCCAGGCATCCCTCGCCCCAGCCACTTGGGCCAGCTCCTCCAGGGGATCTCCAAAGTGTTCCCTGGCCAGCCGAGAGACATAGTCCCTCCAGCGTGTCCTGGGTCTTCCCTTGGGTCTCTTCCCAGTTGGATGTGCCCGGAAAACCTCACCAGATACCCGAGCCACCTCAACTGGCTGCTCTTGACATAGAGGAGCAGTGGATCTACTTCGAGCCCCTCCTGAATGATCGAGCTTCTCACCCCATCTCTAAGCGCCCAGCCACCCTACGGAGAAAACTCCCTTCAGCCGCTTGTATCTGCGATCTCATTCTTTTGATCACTACCCAAAGCTTGTGAACATAGGTGAGGGTAGGAACGTAGATCGACCGGTAAATCGAGAGCTTTGACTTATGGCTGAGCTCTCTCTTCACCACGACAGATCGGTACAATGCCCACATCACTGCAGACGCAGCACCAATCCACCTATCAATCTCATGCTCCATCTTTTCCTCACTCATGAACAAGTCTTAAACTTAAACTCCTCTACTTTGGGCAGGACCTCATCCCTGACCTGGAGAAGGCATTCTACCTTTTTCCGATTCAAGGCCATGGTCTCGGACTTAGAGGAGCTAAAAAATAAATCTAGAGTAGAAATATGTCTCTCGTACAGTGACACAGCAAAAAAGCTGACGTTACTTCCTTTAATTAGCAAAATAAAAACACTAATTTACCAGCAACTGTAGATGAAAAGAAATATAAACATCTCACTTTGTTTCTACACCATGTTTTACGACAACAGTTTCCTTTGGCAACTCTAAAAAAGGCCCCAAACATAAACACCCTCCCACACTGTGTTAATTCAAAATGGCTACCATCAACAGCAGCTGCAGAAGAACATGACAAGTGCTATCTCATTTACCTACCCCTGGTCCAGATAATGAAGAACCACAGGCCCACACAACGCATGTGGTTATTAGCACGTACAGTACGCACCCACAACACTCCGACTCAATCCTCACAGCAATCCTGCTCCAATTAGGGCTCGATATAGCTGGAAAACACTCTGACTTAATAACAGACGCGAAATGAAGAAATAAAACTTTAGGGCGAAGGCAAACGCTTGGTGAAATTAACTGTTGACATTTGTCTGAGCCAGAAGCTGGAATTGATTGTGAGCAGGAAAAAAACGGACGATCGTTTCAGTCTGAGCGTTCTCTCACATCATCCCTCAGTTTAATGTTGCAATATAACACAATTACCGTCTGAGCAGCATCCTCTTACATTTATCTATGCTAACCAGATAAAAATATGGTGAGCCACTGCAGCATCCATGGCTAACTACATTCTGTGCAGCTGTTAGGATTTAATTTTGGAAGATTGCACAAGCTGGTAGACAAAATATATACCATCACTGCCCCGCAAATCGTCTTACTGGGGGGGGACACACCAAACTGGTGTGACAGCACATCACACCAGAAGGTTTTCCTGCACGATCCGTCGTATTTGCCACCTGTTCACTCCTTTATAAGGAAAAAGAGCATCTGCTGAATCTCCACAAGTGTCCAAATAAAAGTCAGACTGAGATTTATCTGCACTTTTCTCTCCTAAGGCCTAACCTTTACTGGATCCACCAAACCTTACAGACAAAAGAAAAGAAGGAGATGAAGTGAAATGCAACGGAACCGAGTATATGAGAATGTGGGGACAAAGAGAGCTGTGTGTGTGTGTGTGTGTGTGTGTGTGCGTGCGTGCGTGCGTGCGTGCGTGCGTGCGTGTGTGTGTGTGTGTGTGTGACTCACTTGTCCAGGGCAGAACCTTGAGTTTGGTTGCTGGTGAGCCTGGAGAAGACATTGCGGTCGTTTCTGGTTCTCAGAGGAGGGGAGGAGGGTGGAGTGTAACCGTCAGTGGGCCTGATGAACAGCAGAAGGATGGCGAGAAATAAGTTCATTTAATTTGTGACAAATAGCTGATCTGAAAAAGGAAAGGACACAGATTTTTGCGCTGCACGTACCTGTAGGTGCGGTCGTATGATTTTCTTCTTGTTAAAGGGGACGTGTCGTAACCACGGGACTGCCTCGGGCTGAGACACAGAAACACATTCAAAAAAGCTACAATCAAACAGATATCATCAAAATAAAAGCATCAAACAACATCCCAAACCCAGGAAGTATCACTCTGCAGGGTGTTCAGTTGAACGTTTCTAATGAATTCATTCAAAAACATGGATTTCACCCCAGTGATCCCCATGTTGATGACTTACAAGGTGTGCCCCCTGACAGGCAGGCTGATGGTTCGAGATGCACGATCCTTGAGAAAGGGATCTCGCAAGGGCAGGCCGAGTCCCAGACTTCTTGTAATAAGACTCAGACCGTCCTCCTGGATGTCTGTCAGCGAGGCCAGAGACTTGGTGATGTGCTGCTGCTTGGTGCCTGATGACGGGTCCAGGAGGGGACCAAGGTACTCCGCCGACACCGCCTTCATCTGACCCGACAATCGAGGCTCCGTCTGGGTGAAAACGTCAACCATTTATGGTTAGAAAGACAGGAGAAGAGAGGGTAGGAAAGAGAACAGTGGGATAGGACTAGAAATGGTTTGAATAAAAACAGCCTGAAAACATCTTTCAGTGGGGAAATGAGTCAAGAGGAAGGCGAACGTCGCAGATGGAATTCTAGGACATTATTCTAGGTCAGCTCGTCTTTAATCAAAGAAAAGCTGAATAAAACTTATAAATACTAAATATTTTAAATAAAGTGATTTTAAAAAAAGTACAATGGAAGTGAAATAATGAGAAGAATCTGTGTCAAATGAGATGTTCTTCACCCAGAAAGCCTTGGTGTAAAAAGAGTTTAGATCTGTGGTTCTACTGCCATCTTGTGGTTAAAATGAATAACAGCAGATTATCTACTACAACTAAAGCATGAAGGCAAACATGGGTTACACTCCTGACTCTACTATTTAGATTCATTACCTTTACTTTGAAATCATCCTGACTGTTGGATTCCTTCATCTGAGAAACACTGAGGGAACAGGAAAGATTGTTTTCATTTTATTATCAATTATCAACAACATTACAAACACAAGTAAATATAGTCAGTGGTTTTATTTGTTTTCATCTCTTGTAAAAACGCTCATAATGACAGGCGGGTGTAGTCTCACCTGCTGTCGGAGGCCTGGCTATACTCTGATGGTTCCTCGTCTGTGCTGGCATAACCATTTTCTGGAAACACATAAAACACGCCCTCTTGTTCGATTCAAACACAGATTTAATGTAGATGTAAAAAATAATATACAATAATTTATTGTTTATACCTTTTAAAACTGGCATGCTTACTGTTGAGATTTAATTTCAAGTGCTGAATATTTATTTACAAATCCTTATTTATTCATTTAGGAAAAACTTTTATTTCTTTTTTCTTTTTTACTAATTTAGATTTTTAATATAACCTCCAAGAATTGTTTCCCCACAAAATCTAAAAACCAAAAGTGTATGCATTTCACTGCTTCTGTTTTTCCTCCTTGTGTTCTCTCTCCAGAGAAGAAGAATCATCCCTCACCTTGCTGGACGTTATGTATGAGAGCCTGGAGTTCAGGGTTATATTCGGCCTTTTCTCGCAGCGCGTCGAGGATCATGTGATTGTGAGAGGAGCCGATGACGTCCGTCTGCCTCAGCTGGCCCTCCAGCAGTCTGATCTTTGCCTCCTTCTGAGCCACCTGCACACTCTGAGCACACAACAACAAAACAATGTCAAAATGCTGGCCTGTACCTTTAAATACGTGGACGTAACGGTATTTAAAACTAATGTGTCATAAATGTATGCGTTGGAAGGATTTGGAAACGTTTTCTTGTGGTACTTAAATACACCAATAGGTGGCAGTGTAATACTATCAACAGTCTCCGGATGCATATACCAGGTCCACACATCCTCTTTTCTCTGATCTTGTGTATTTTTTTCTGATTTCTGGGAACATGTGTCACCTTGTCAATAGAAGCCTTCAGGAAGTGGTCCAGCAAGTGGCGAGCTTCAGCTAAAGAACAAGAGCTGATCACAACTGAGGTGTCCACCGAGTCCAGCTCATCCTGGTGAAGACAACAACACCACGTCACTAAAAGTGTCTTATCGTGTCTTCAGATGGAGAGCTGACACAAACAGCGATGTGTGTTTTTACTTTGGTCTCCTCTATCTGCACGATGGTGGCCTGGCAGTCAGACAGACTGTCATTGATGTAGTCAATATTTGCATTCAGCACCTCTATGTCCTCATTTATTTCCTGAAGGAGGCGGTCCTCTGCTTCTGGCCCCTCCCCATCTGCCATCAGTACCTGCCTCTTGTGTGAAAGTGCCTCCTGCTGCGCTGTCAGCTCTTCTCTCTTCTGACTCATCAAAAACACACAAAAATATAGAATCAGCTAAAATATTTTTGCAAATGGACTGAAAACATTACTACATCTTTTGCAATTACTTCAACAAATATCTTTGACATCATACTGAGTAGGCGTGAAGCGCCATCGATCCAAGAACCGCTTCACTCAATTGCATATCTGCTCTCCCTCGGACATTTTAACAAACCCGGTCTGGTCAGAAAAAGAGGATGATCCTCAAACTTGGTTTTATTTCATAGAAACTGTGGTAAAGCAAGCCAAAAGAGCTGCTATTTTACTTAAAACTACCATGATCAGATGTCAACTGGTGCTTTATTTTAGGAGATAGAACCTTGATAAGGCGATCCATGTCAGCTTCCACATTAGAGATGGTCATTCTCTGCATTGCGATGTCCATAACGCGACGCTCCAGGGTTTGCCATTTTTGACGGGACTTGGAGAAGCTGGTGGGTCTGCCGGCAGCTGCAGGGCCGCCCAGGCCCGCAGGCTTCCTCTGCAACTTCCTCCTGCTGCTGGGAAGAGAGCAACAAAATAGTGAAGAGATGAATGCTCCTACTCACAGAAACAGAACAAAAGCAGAGAAAATCTCTAACCTTTGCCTGCTGAAAACACCAGCGCAGTAGTCTAAATTAATACAGCATCAGCGTATGTTTACATGTTTATAGTACAAACAGTGCAGTGCATATCAGCTCCTCTAACCTGATGACCCGTGTTCCATCCATGCTGCCATCGCTCTCTCCCAGGTACCCGTACGCACTACTCTTGTTGTTCCACTGCCGCACCAACCCGCTCACGGACCTCACACCTTCAGCTTCAGAGCTGCTTGCTGTGGTGCTGGCTGATAAATCAGCTCCGGAGTCCGTCACCGGCGGGGTCTGGTTCCAACGGGCCACTCGCCCGGCCACACGATCCGACATGGGTTTAGTCAGACGCCGCAGGGCAGTCACCTCCTGGGTCTTCCTGCGTAGCACCAGCTCCTGCTGCCTCTTCTGAGACTCCAGCGCTCGGATTTGGTACTGATGTGGAAAGACGCATTTTAGTTTCTGTACTTTTAAAAAGCGTATTTGAAAATTCAAATAAATAAATAAATAAATAAAAGAATTAAGACGAATGCTAAAGCATGACAGAATCAAGCGCTTCTGCTTATTATTAATGAAGAAAAGCAGTCTTTAGGAGAGTGTGTGCAAAACAACAAGGTGTAAAAATAGCTTTTCACTGTTAAAGGTGTGTCTGTGCATTTACATTTTATGTGCATAAACAGTAACTCTTCACGCTGTTTTACATGTAATCAAAGTTTTTTTTCTATTTGTGACACTGAAGGAAAACTTTAAACATGAATGCAAAACATCTTCAAACACTTTGCTCCCAGAGCAGTCATCCTAAAACTCACAGGCCTCCATCAGAAACCTCTCTGACCTCTTGTCGTCGCTGCTCCTTCTTGAGCTGAGCGATCTCCCGGTTTCTCTTCGCCTCCACCATCCTTCTCCTCTGCTGCTCCTCCTTCATCTGCTTCATCAGTGCCACCTGAAAACGGTTTAAGCCAGATTCAATTATATCTTTTCATCTCCTGATCGGCTCGCAGTGCCGTCCTCTTACCTTGGCCTTCTTCATCTCGTTGACCTCGCCCTGGAGTTTCTTCAGCTCTCGTTCGTACCTGCCCTGGTTCTTGAGGAGGCGAGCGTGCTCCTTCTGGGCCGCCTGTAGCTTCAGCAGGTCCCGGTTCATTTCCTTTAGCCGCTTCTCGTACTCTTGCCGGATCTTGTTGGCCTTCTCCTCTGTGTAGTTTTCCATGGACACTGCATAGAGGCGTTATAACGTCATACAGCGTTGTTGTTGAGATGCTTTTTATTGACATAAGCCGAAACACTTACTGAGGTTCTGCAGCACGCGGTCCCTCTCCAGCTGCGTGTCTCTGATCTTATTTTGCAGCAGGATGAGCTTCTCCTCATACTGCAGCTTCAACATGAGCAGCCGTCGCTGGCTGTTCTCCAGCTCATCTATCAGCTTCTGCTTGATCTCAATCTCACAAGTCAGGTCCGCCAGATCTGCCTGGAAGTTGGCTAAAGGGTTGAAGAGGTCATTAGGGAACAGTTAATTCATTCAAATCTGTGCAGCAACCCTACAAAACACACCTTTCTCATCAGAGTCAGAGTCTGAATCCACCAGACTCTCATCACTCTCAAAGTCATCCTCCTCCTCTCTGCCCTCCTCTTCATCCTCACACTCATCCTCCTCACAGCCACTCTCCTCCTGCAGTGGAGACATGATGTCCTACACAAAGAGACACATTCATAATTTAAACTTTGTTTTGTTCCTTTGTAATCTTTATTGCCTTTATTGCACTTACCTCGGGGTAATTGTCATCCGAATCGACCTCTCCATTCTGCCTGTTTTCTCCACTCCGCCTGCTCTCTCCGTTCTCCTGAGTGTGCAGCTTCACTCGTTTCTTCAGACCTTTCTCTAATTCTGGACTGCAGAAATAAAACGTGCATAAAAGACAAGACTTTACAGCAGCAGTGTTTACCCTCCTTAAGCTGGAACAATGACCCAGTTGGCCCCTGAAGGAACACGGCCCCGGAGAGCGCTGCTGCACGCTCCACAAACGCATTAGGAAACACTCTGGAAGTGTTGCCAAGAGACGTGCTCCTGGCAAGAATCAGCCATCTACAGCAACTGGCAAAGTCCACTTTAGTACATCAGCTTCCATCCTTACCCTTAGGGTCTTATGTTTTATTATCAGTTTTATTTCCCCCTTCGTGCTCATTTGACAGTTTTCATCTCTAATCGTCCTCCTTTCACATGCTTTTAGACCACATTCAGGCTGTTAGTTTCAGCACTCCTCTCTCATGACTCAGTGGCTGGAAGACTAAAAACCTTTTAGTGTCCAGTCCAGCGCTGACAGCTTTCTACTTCTACCAAAACGTCTGAAGTCATAACTGATGCTGATGTCGTTTTAAAACAGGAAGTAAAACTAATACAAAGGGGAGCGTATGAGGGCACCTCACCTCATTCTCCTCTGTCTCCTCTCCTTCTTCTTTAGCCTCTCAATGTCCAGCTTGGCGCGGCGTAGCACGTCCGTCATCTCGGCCTCCATGGACATGGGAATGGGGGACGAGCCTGGGGGGTGGCCAGGGGCAGGGCTTAGAGTAGAGGTCGGGAACGAGGAACGGGAGGAAAGGCGAGTCACTTGACGCCGCAGAGACTCGTTCATGGCTTCGCTCTGGAGGAGTTTAGATCTACCAAAAGAGGAAAATAAGAACGTAATGATTTGTATTTGCAACTCTGGCCAAATTTCTAAATTCTTATTTGAGCATATTTTGCTGAATATTTAAAAGCAAAGTGATGAAAGAAGCAATATGAAAGCATTTAAAAGCAACATCTGCGTAAAATGTGGAGTTTTGTTAGATGATAAAAGTATGTCAGACAGAAACAATAACCTACAATGACACTGACATACATTTTAATAATATGTGATTAGGGCTGCTCAATTATGGCAAAAATGATAATCACGATTATTTTGACTGAAATTGATATTTCGATTATTAATGAGGATCTTTAATTACATCAGCCATGTGTGGATGTGTGAGTGTGTGAATAATGGAAAGCTCCGAGCGCCTAGTAAAGCACTATATAACTAATCCATTTGTAACCAAAGACAAAAATAAAAACATCTATGTTGTAGTGAACTTCCACAACCTGCTGCATAATAATTATTTAGTCCTGTCCAGCAGTGCTGTAGGGGAGTGTGTACAGCAGCACGATGCAACGTATCGCTCAGATGGAAGAAGTGTGGTGTGAGAGCACATGAAGACAGTCAAATGTGTGTCTGAATGCTCATCGCGTGAGAGTTTGCAGCCCTGGTAAAATATAAATCCACTTCACATGTGTCCTGCTGTATCTTGGCTGTTTTTTAAGCAAGTCAGATCCACCGTGAAAGGTTTATGATTGGACGGTCGATGTAACGTGATCATACTGAACCCAGCACAGGCTGGGTATTTTGCTAACCTGCACAGAATATTGATGACAAAGTCCTACAGAAAGTAGCTAAGGGTCACCAGAAATGTTGAGAAGTGGTTCGCTAGGCGCTTTTGGAATAAAAATTCAAGAAGGACGTCTGAAACATTAGAAATAGCTAAGTTGGCAACTCTGTGTGGGAGGTGTGCTTGATTTAAATTCAATTCAAAGATACTTTATTAATCCCAGAGGGAAATTTGAGTTTCAATACACACAATTCTGAGATCAGATATACATACATACATAGGCATAGACACATGACAAGAATTGGTGATTGTGGTCATTCGCAACCCGAGTTGCGCTACCTTAATAGAGATCAGAGGGTTTACATGAGGATTGAGTCAGGTGGAGGAAAAAAAGGCACTTCAGAGTTACCCTCAACAGAGAGGGTAGCTTTGCTATGCAAAAAACACCTCAGACAGATATGCACACAGACTTCAGACATTACACAACATAAGTGTCCACTAGGTGGGGAGGTAGGGTTGGGACTCTCCTCACTTCAGTGCGTGCAGCCGCATGGAGCAGCGCTCATCACGTCCCTCTGGACAGGGGAGGGAGATTAATGGGTTAGAGGGCACACTGACTCCTAGATACGGTTCCACGGCCTTCACAGGTCAAAGTCCCGCCCAGGCAGGGACAGGGAGAAAGAGTTTCCATAGCGACGGCAGCATTCCACATTTCTTCTGGAGGGTAGTTTTCACTTCAGCCTCACAGGCTCCAAGGGCACCAGATTCAGATAAGAATTGTTTTGGGGACAGAGAGATAATTTCCTCTCTCCTAAGTGTTGGTCTTCAACCCCTCTAGATCCAATAATGGCATAATTAATCTATCCCAATCTGTGCTGATCTGTCCACTCACTCCTTGATGGAATCCACCTTCTGTGCCAGAGTCTGAATCTCAGCCAAAGTTCCAAGCTTACGACTCATCTCGACAATTATATGAGTTTGTGCGTTCACAGCGCGATGTAATCGATCCCTGAGCTCCGGGATTGAACCAATATTCCTCGAAAGCTCGTTAATTATCCGGTATGCCAGGTAACCGCTCAGGCCAAACAGCAGGAATCCGGACACCAACACCACGAATATCCAAACATCTTCAGAATCCTCTACAGACAGTTGAGGGAGGCAGAACAGGTTCCACTTTATCCAGGAGTCCATGATATACCCAGCTGGCTCTGTCCCAGAGGGGCATCCGGGAGCCCCTTGTCCTGTTCTCATCGTTGAAAAAATTTTGTCAATCGCGTTGAGACCAACTGACCAGATCCATTTTTAATAATTTCCAGTTTCCAGAAAATATGCAGAAAGCGCGGTGCACAGAAAGGACAGGATTTGAAACTTGGAGCAGTGCAGGAGTAAAATGTGAGGGAGGAGCAAATAATGAGTTCATTTTATTTTTATATAATAACCCAGATCATAATTGTTATTTAAATTAGATTAATTAAGGTGCCCTATGTCCGTCCATCCATCCGTTTTCATCCACTTATCCGGAGTCGGGTCGCGGGGGCAGTAGCCTAAGGCGAGAGGCCCAAACTTCCCTCTCCCCAGCCACTTGGGCCAGCTCCTCCGGGGGAATCCCAAGGCGTTCCTTGGCCAGGTGAGAGACATAGTCCCTCCACCGTGTCCTGGGTCTACCTTTAGGTCTCCTCCAGGTTGGACGTGCCTGGAAAATCTCACCAGGGAGGCGTCCAGGAGGCATCCTGACCAGATGCCCGAGCCACCTCAACTGGCTCCTCTCAATGTGAAGGAGCAGCGGGTCTACTCCGAGCCCCTCCCGGATGACCGAGCTTCTCACCCTATCTCTAAGGGAGAGCCCAGCCACTCTTTGGAGAAAACTCATTTCGGCCGCTTGTATCCGCGATCTCATTCTTTCTGTCACTACCCAAAGCTCATGACCATAGGTGAGGGTAGGAACGTAGATCGACCGGTAAATCAAGAGCTTCGCCTTCTGACTCAGCTCTCTCTTCACCACGACAGACCGGTACAACGACACCCTAATCCTACTCCCAGAGTACCCCCCACAAGACCCCCGAGGGACGCGGTCAAACGCCTTCTCCAAATCCACAGAACACATGTAGACTGGTTGGGCAAGTTCCCACGCACCCTCCAGGATCCCCCTAAGGGTATAGAGTTGGCCCAGTGTTCCACGGCCAGGATGAAAAACACATTGCTCCTCCTGAATCTGAGGTTCAACAATCCGACGGACCCTCCTCTCCAGAACCCCTGAATAGGCTTTACCTGGAAGGCTCAGGAGTGTGATCCCCCTATAGCTGGAACACACTCTGCGGTCCCCCTTTTTAAATAAGGGGACCACCACCCCGGTCTGTCAGTCCAGTGGGTCTGCCCCCAATGTCCACGCGATATTGCAGAGCCGCGTCAGCCAACACAGCCCCGCAACATCCAGAGCCTTAAGGAACTCCGGGCGGATCTCATCCCCGCCGGAGCCTTGCCACAGAGGAGCTTTTTAACCACCCCAGTGACCTCAGCACCAGAGATTTGAGAGGCCAACCCAAAGTCCCCAGACTCTGCTTCCTCACTGGAAGACGTGTCGGTGGGATTGAGGAGGTCTTCGAAGTATTCTACCCACTGATCCACATCGTCCTGAGTAGAGGTCAGCAGCACATCGTCCCCACTATAGATAGTGTTGGTAGCACACTGCTTTCCCCCCCTGAGGTGCCGGATGGTGGACCAGAATCTCCTCAAAGCCGTACGGAAGTCTTGCTGGTATTTATAAATTATCATCAGGCAACACAAATTAAACACAATACATTTATGTTCCTTTATTTCTTAATAACTGTGTTAAATTATTTTGAACAAAGTGTGTGTCTGATATACCCAAGCTGTTCCATCTTGTTGTCACGTTCTCCATGTTCTGTTTTAATGTTCTGTATCTAATTTCATTTAAAGGGCTGTGATCATAGATTCAGACTGACTATGCACAACAGATCATACAGAAGTAAAAGAGAAAAAATGCTTCTTGTTGTGAGACACATTAGTAAAAGAAAAGAGAAATCAGAGGTGTCTGTGTTTAGTTTTCTCATCAAAGACTTCAGCCCTCACCTGAGCTCCTCTACTTCTCTGATGTAGTTCTGTATAAGGGTTCCAATCTCTTCGCTGCCTTCACCTGAAGATCAAAGCAAAACATCAGGTTAAAGTTCAGTTCTAAAAGAATAAATACAGGAAGTGTAGTTTAGGATCTCTGTTACGTACTTGACTTGGTGAGTAAAGTGCTGATTTCATTGGCCAGCAGGTTAGTCACACGGGCGTTCAGGTGATCGATGGTCTCCTGCATGGCCTTCACTCTGAGGCGCAGCGTGTCGTTGTCCCTCTGCAGCATGGCGTTCTCCTGGTACATGTCGCTGAAGCCCTCTGAACCGTCCTCGCACACCACACGCTTCCCCTGCACCAAATAAACAACATTTTTCAAAAATGCCAAACCTGAAAATCGAACTGAGACCCATCCAAACAGAAGGTGATTCACTCTCCTCATGTCTCCTCAAGCAGCTATTGTTGAATTCTGCCAAACTTCCAGCTGCTCAGGCCTGAAACAAGGAGCCACTATCTAGTCCGGTCACAGCTCGCAACACTCCATTACTTCTGGACTCCAGCCAGTCACATCACATCTCTTATAACAACATCGAGGTCAGCTTGCAGCCTCTTGTCACAGTCACTTCTCTTTAGTAACCGCGGTAACCGTCTTAATCCAGCAACAGACTGACAGTGAAGCTCAGAGACTGCTTGTTTCTTATAGCCAGAGGTCAAAGATGAGGAAGAAGGGGAGACTTTCAGCAGAGCCTGTTTATACTGTAAACTCAACACGCTTTGTGGCGTTTGATAAAAAAAATAAAACTAATAATAAATTCTGTAGCCACATTTGAACAACTTTTCCTGTTTCAGCTCATTTGTCCCTCTCTTACAGCCTGTTTAACTCAGACTCAAGTCCTATTTGACCTGCAACTTTAAATTTCTCATCTTCTTCCTCTCCTCCGTTTGTCTCCATCACTCACCGCCTTGTACTCCATCAGCTCCAACTGGAGACGGGCTATCTCAGCGCGCAGGGCGCTGATCTGCTGGCTGGTCTTGTCTTGGTTCACCATCACCTTGTTCTTGATGTTTCTGGCTCGATTTGCATATTTCAGTGTGTTCAGCGTCTCCATGAAGTCCCGGTCCGACGGGCTGACGCAGGCGATCATCACTGTGCGGCTGCAGCGGAGGAAAATAAGGTGTTCATAAGCAGCTACTGAAATCTAAACCGAATGTATCTGATGTCTGAGGATCAGAATCTGAATCGATGCCAGAAAGACATCGCACAACAAACTGAAGGTCCAGCGTAAGAATAAAAGCACATTTACACAAGTTAGAAAAAGCTATTCAAATATAAATATAGACAAGATATTCATCCATGCATACCACACATTGCACTTTCCCTTAGATGGCGTTGAAACAAAACGTAGAGTCATTTAACACTCGACCGACCATTTAGCTATATTCAGCATAGTGATGGTTGAAGGTTAAAAGGTGTTTTAAAATCTGCTAGATGTAGTTGCTTGTGCATGTGTGTGTGTGTGTGTGTGTGTGTGTGTGTGTGTGTGTGTGTGTGTGTGTGTGTGTGTGTGTGTGTGTGTGTGTGTGTGTGTGTGTGTGTGCGTGCGTGTGTGCATGTGTGCATGTGTGTGTGTGTGCATGTGTGTGCGCGCGTGCGTGTGTGTGTGTGTGTGTGTGTGTGTGTGTGTGTGTGTGTGTGTGTGTGTGTGTGTGTGTGTGTGTGTGTGCATGTGTGCAGGTGTGTGTGTGTGCATGTGTGTGCGCGCGTGCGTGCGTGTGTGTGTGTGTGTGTGTGTGTGTGTGTGTGCATGTGTGTGTGTGTGCATGTGTGTGCGCGCGTGCGTGTGTGTGTGTGTGTGTGTGTGTGTGTGTGTGTGTGTGTGTGTGTGTGCATGTGTGCATGAGTGCATGTGTGTGTGTGTGCATGTGTGTGCGCGCGTGCGTGCGTGCGTGTGTGTGTGTGTGTGTGTGTGTGTGTGTGTGTGTGTGTGTGTGTGTGTGTGTGTGTGTGTACCTGTTGCCTCCCAGTGAGTCCTGTAACAGTCGGGTGAGTTTGGAGTCCCTGTATGGGATGTGTCCTGCCTTCTTGTTCTGATCACCCAAAGCGCTGATCACATTTCCCAGAGCAAGCTGAGAAAAGCAAACAGTGTTTTATTTATCCCAAAGCAGAGCTGAGCAGCGTTTTACCTGCAGTGTGTGTCACCCACCAGTCCACAGTTGATGGAGATCCCCTCTCGGGCCCTCTCCCCAGTGGCTCCGGTGCGTTTGAGTCTCTCAGAACCAGCCAGGTCCACAAAGTGAAACTTGGCCATCAGCGTCTCATATTCCGGCTGGGAGATGGGACCAGAGTCCACGCCGTTCACCTCCCCGTTCTCCGTTCCTCCGTTCTGTTAGTGAAGGTGGACAAAATAAATAAATAAATAAATAAAACACAAAGAATTACATTTCTTTAAAATTACAGATTTTTGCTCTAAATTGGCAGTTGTTTCATCAGCTGGTGTGCAGCTCCGTTCTAAAAACATGAAAAGGATTGTGTTTAATTTTACTGTCTATACTCGTCCTCACGCACGCTCAGTAATGTCTGACATCTGCAACCTCATTTATTCCTAATCTTATTAATAGACGACAGATAACAGGAATGATGAAACTGTAAAGACCCAACTTCTTACTCTGGATCTGTCTGTCAGGTTTTTAAATAAACGTAACTCTCGCTCTTTTTATCTCTGAAGTCTCAGGCGTTCTACCTCTCGACTCCAAACCTCCAGTCTCACCATTTGTGGCTGCTGACAGACTCTCATTTGACAGAGATAGATGGTGAAGATGGCGTGCGAGCGGGAGCTTTGGGCATTCATCTGAGTGCTGGCTGTGGTTCGGGACAGAGCGCCGAGCTTCAGACACTGCAGCAGCTGCAGCCCACACAAAAAGACAACAACAGGGAAAATGTGTGATGATAAAGATAAAAAGCACATAAACTGAGAAAAATAATGAAAATAACTGCGTCATTTTCTTGTTACATTGCTTCTGGTAAGCCTTCTTCTCACTTTTTTGAACAACTTGAACATCTCCCCTCCTTCACGTTTTCTTATTTCTTCCAGAGGAAAATGCTGGTGTGTTTCAGCTGTGTACGTTCATGATTCACGGATAAATCATCTAATAGGTAAATATCCTTCTGCCATCTTTGTGCTTCACGTGTGTAGCAAGCACATGTCTTTATACTTTGTCAACGGTTTTAAGATTAGAAATCATCGTACGAATTGTCCAAATCAGTGTTTGTGAGTTCTGTTCTTACAGAAATCTTGCAGTCAGAAACTGTTAAGGATTTTATCAACAACCCAGTGCCTGCAACCAGAGAAAAGTAAACAAATGAAAGACAAGTTTCCAGATTGTAATGAGGAGGCAGAAGCTACAAGGCTACTACTCCGAGCTCCTGAATTCTCCATTTATAAAATTAGATAAGAAAGTGTGTGTGTGTGTGTGTGTGTGTGTGTGTGTGTGTGTGTGTGTGTGTGTGTGTGTGTGTGTGTGTGTGTGTGTGTGTGTGTGTGTGTGTGTGTGTGTGTGTGTGTGTGTGTGTGTCTGGATAAATGAGCATACGTTAGGCATAGAGAAATACATATTACATTCAGATGATTGAATCAATGATTGAGAAATAATAATAATAAAATTTCCATAACAGAAACATTTTAGCAGATGTATGTAACAGATTCTGCATTTTTGAGGTGAAACAGATGATGACGGATGCTTGTGTGCATTCTGCATCTGTGCCACTTAAAGCTCTGCAAGTAAATAGCTTCTTTCTGAACACTTATTGACGCTCCCCGATAGGATTCCTCATACATCTTGATGGTTTTCATATTTTTCTTTTCTAGAAAACAAGTTTAAAAAAAAAAGCAGGAACTGAAAATATCAACGTCAGTCTAGTTCAGCTGAGGTCTTTCTGACCATTTTTCAAGTTTCTTACTGTGAAAAAACTTTTATGCTTAACCTGTTTGGGATTAGGCAAAATTTTTACCAACTTACACAGAAATGAAGAAGTTGAAAATATAATTGCAAGAAAAAAATATATCAAATCTACAGAAAGGAAAATCCAAACCATGTTTGATTGTAAATTCTGTCATATGTAGACTCTGTGGTGGTGCACTTCTCTACTAATCTGTAGGACACATGGTTGAATCAAAACCACTTCAGCCCAACAAACAATACTTTTGTACCTTTAATATAAAATTAGACATAAAAATTGTTTAAAAAGCACCTAAAAATCCTAGGAATTCTGTTAAAAAGGAAACTGTCTGTCTGTTAAACAAATAGTTTGAAAAGAAAATGGCGTCTAACGATGACTCAACACACACACACACACAGCTCACCTCCTCCTCTGAGTGCACCAGTCTAGAAGTGACTCCCGTGGTGTAGATGCTGCCGCTGGCGTCTTCGTGGATTTTAATGTTGGACTTCCTGCTGCGACTCTCGGGGTCTCTGGCTCCATCAAACAAGTCCAGGATCTCCTCATTGTACAACTGCAACAAACACGTGTGTCAACAACGCTCTGCAGTCATTAAGTGTGTGTAACACAAATAGGGGACATGCTCTATAACCATTATACTAATGAAAACTATTAGCCCTAAAGCAGAGGCTTGCTCTAAAAAAATAAATAATAAAATAAAACCCTCTTGGTGAAAACACGAATCTGAAGCTGCAGCCGTCAAAATAACGACCTCCCCGAGAACAAGGAAGGCAGGGGTCACTGAGGTCAGCTAAGAGCTCAGCTGTTCCCGCCTAATGCCACACACACACACACACACACACACACACACACACACACACACACACACACACACACACACACACACACACACACATCTGTTTACAATCAACAAAGATAACCTCCTGACCTGAAAACCCACAGAAAAACACTAACATGGACCAGAAACAATAAAAAAAAAAGGCGGCAGAAAACTGAAAATAAATTTTTGTTTTTATAAAAGTGTTCTTTTACAAATCAGTCATTTAGGTAATCAGTCACACACACACACACACACTCACTCACACACACACACACACACACACACACACACACACACACACACACACACACACACACACATAAAGTAAAACACTCCCCTAATCAAACCTAAACAATTACCATGCAGATCTCCTCGGGAGAAATGATTACTAGTCATATATCTGATTTCTGCTACCCAAGCATCCCTCCCTCCCTCCACATCGACACTCTGATCCATCTTCTACCCTCGGTGATGAGGAATAATGTCAGAGGTAATGGCAAACATTAATCAGGACCAACAAAGCACAAGCAGACGTTCCAGCCCATCTGTCTTCGAGCTGTCACTTCCTGTTAGTGGAATGGGAGTTTGATCCTGTTGTCTCCTCCATTCTGTCCCATCTGGTTAGAGTTAATATGGACCAGCGCACACACACACATGCATGCAAACACACACAAACACATGTGCACGCACGCACGCATACACACACACACACACACACACACACTCACACAAACTGGCAGGCAAAATCTTTAACGCTGCATGGTTTAAATGTTAGATGTAATAAAGTTTAGCGCTGTACCTCCAGGAATTGGGCGCTGACTTTAAACTCAGGTGCTGGGATGCCAGTATCCTGAGCATGGATCCTCCTAGTCTGGATCCCCTCAAACAGCTGGTGAACAGCCCGTGGGATGATGCCTTGCTCCTGCACGCCCAGGCTCACATCAAAACCAGTTCCCATGGTGTAGGTCTTCCCCGAGCCCGTCTGAAACACGTTTCACCATCAACAACAACGTTTAGCTCACATTTCAACAGCAAAACCCGTTTTCACAACCATGTATTAAAATTACAGATAGGGCTGCAACAAACGATTATTTGGATAATCGATTAATCGGATGGGGTCTCGACACGATTAATCGATTAATCGGATTACATGGGGAAATTTTTAAAAACTGCTAGGGAAACGTTATTTCTCTCCTTCCTTCACTTTATTTAACACAACATTATTAGAAAACAGTTCAATAGCAGAAAAACAACATGCCATCACCTAAATTGTCTTATAAGGTGTATAGACAGAGACCCTAAGCTACATCTATCTGTGACCTAAAATGCTTGGTCCAAGTTAAACAGCTTAAGGGCAATTCTCATCTGTTTTGTTTGATCTCATCTGTTGACATTTATTTTAAATGTAATTAAACATAGGCTGTGAATTAATCAAAATTGATCACTATTTCCAAAAATGACTGAAAAAATACCAAATAAAACAAAAGTAAATGAATGCCATTCTCCTTGCGATGATGCCCTGGGCAACTGCCATAAAGTCACATCAAGAAATGCTGCTGATCATTCCAATGATCCCAAATAGACTCACATTAGGCCACATGAAAGCAACTGAACCCAAAAATATATTAACCAGTATATAACTGCACTCTCACACAACACGCCTGCAGCAACAGTTAGGACTCCTCCCTCCCTTTTAAAAGCGTTTTTGCTTCCGAGGACATTGTGGTTGTAAAACCACATGCTAGTAGTCTGGCCCCGGTGTGATCAACCAGTTTCTGCGGGAATGTGACGGCGGAACCAGGGCCAGATTAACACTTTGTTGTATCCTGGGCAACAATATTCAAGGGCTCCATCATCACGACCCGAGGATCACCATAATGTGGTCACATACAGAATATTTTACTGTAATATGCAGTAAATATACTCAATACTTGAATGCCTGACAACACGTAACCCGCCCAGAGTAACCTTTGACCCACCTCGTGTGGACTGACCAATGAGGAGAGGGTCTTAACTTGAGGCCCTCTCTTCATTGGTCAGTCTGCATGAGACTGACTCTCAACTGACATTCGAAGTCATAGGCAGCAAAGCGTCTCTGTGCAGGGCAAAAGCCCGGGTGGACAGTTTGTTTAATGTAGGGTGATCATATTTCCATTTCCAAACAAGAGGACAGGGGATCTGTGCCTATGATGTCACACTATGGCAACGCCACACAAACCATGTTGGGACCCATTTTTTGTAAGAACTAAATTAATATCAGATTCTGCCAATAAAAGGGCTCTAAAACAATTCATATGTAAATATTTTGCATATTTAATGCAAAATCTCATTTTTATGCTTTAGTGCTGCAACAAGGTTTTATTAATAATAAATTATTATACCTTTTGTTTTACTACAGCATCGGTAAGCTTCCTGTGCACAGATTATTAAGGATGCTTGTTTCAGCTGTGAGATTAGACGATAGGATCAATGATAAAATAAGTTGTCACACACTCCATGGAAACTTTCAGATAATCCACAAATAGTGGCTTTCAAATGGTTTTGTTACTTTTTGCAAGTTTAGAAAAGAAGCTGATGAGACAGCATGTCTTATAATTTAGTTTTTCATCTGATATATTAGAACATGTCAGTAATGTCTGAGGGGCTTTTACAAACACTGTATAACTAATACTCCTGGAGAGGGCATCAATTACACAGAGGCTTCTGGGGAGCCCAGTTATGGGGGGGGGACATTTTGCCTTGGCCCCCAAAATGTCTTGAAACGGCCCTGGGTGTGTGACTGAGTTTTGAAGGTGATCTGAATTGTATCAGATGTATAACTATGACATGTGTATAACTTATTGTTTTTTACTGGTAAAAACGTGTAGTGGAGATAAATCTACCTACATTTTACTTTGTTTTCTTGTTTTTATTTAACTATTTTCCTGTCCTGTCTGTCTCTCATCTTCCTGCATCTCCTCATAATTCTCCAGAAAATCTGTTGCCTGGATTCTTACTTTTTCACCTCATCAGTTACTTTTGAGCAGATCAAAGAGATCTCCTGACCGCAAAGCGGAGAGCGCGTTTTCGATGCTGCGTGAGGTGAAATCACCACAGCACAGGTGATGAGCTCCGCAGCAGAGCGCTTCAGGCACAAATAAGACAGAAAATAGAGAACATGTGCAGACAAGAACGATCATGTGCTAATTATAGTTTTTTGGTTGCGCCACTTTGAGAATGGACCGTGCGCTGGAAGCAGCTGCCTGGATCGCTGTGCAACAATGCGGAACCGGTTCGCAGCAGCGCAAGTCTGCAGGCTCTCCCTCGCGCTGATCTGCCTGTACCGGCTCTCCCTCGCGCTGATCTGCGGCTCTCCCTCGCGCTGATCTGCGGCTCTCCCTCGCGCTGATCTGCCTGTACCGGCTCTCCCTCGCGCTGATCTGCGGCTCTCCCTCGCGCTGATCTGCGGCTCTCCCTCGCGCTGATCTGACTTGCTCTGGTCTGCGCGCAACGGTGGGCGGGAGGGGGGGGGGGGGGGGGGCGCTTTTGGAAGAGTTGTGCGACACAACGAATCGATGACGCAATTCGTTGCCAACGCTTTTAGTAATCGATTTTCATCGAATTCATCGATTCGTTGTTGCAGCCCTAATTACAGATTCAAGTTAATTAAAGTTTCACTTTCTTACCTGTCCATAGGCAAACACGGTGGCGTTGTAGCCCTCGAAGCAGCCCTCAATGAGCTTGTGCACACAGGTCTGGTAAATGTGCGGCTGCTCTGAGTCGATATCGAACACAAAGTCGTAAGTGAAGGCCTTGTCCTTTCCCAGGAGCACCTGCGGTTCCCCAGGTGTGACCAGCGTGCACACATGACAGCCCTCTATCTTCTCCTTAGCCATTTGAGGACGGATCCTGAAAGGAGAGAGACACAGAAGGTAAGAAGATTTAACTCAGACACATGGTGATGAACCTGGAGGCTTTAAAGCGTCTCACAGACAAGCCATGACTATCTGATCCGAACAAGCTACAAACACGACAGAAAAGGTTTAAAATGTTTCCGTTTTGATTGATCAGAGGTAATAATAAAATATGAACACAAGATAATAATGTAAGGAAATGTTATTTAACTTTTATTCAAACATCCTCATATATTTGTAAACGTTTTTTTGTCCTGTTTCAGGCAGAAATGTGGACCAAACTCTTTACACATCACATCTCCAAGATTCAACCATAAAAGCAGCTTCAGAGCCGTTAGAGGAGACAAGAGCATGTAGATATTTGCAGCATTTAACTACACCCAATCAGAAAATTTGATTTTCATCTACTTCAGAAGCAGAAAACAAATAAATCAACAAAAAATAAAAGAAACTGACTGACTGGCCTCTGATGTCCATGGGACAATTTATTAGCTCCCTCTGGAGCCAAAGGAGAATTCCTAGATTCCACACAAGTGTGTATTATTATCTTTACCACCTTAAACTAAAGTAACATATAAAACGGGTTTCCCTTTAATAAAATGGTCTATTTATGCTAAAAAATAAAAAGTCTTGGACCTGTAGTGAAAATGTATCGGTAAACTACACAAACTAAAGTTTGACGTTGACTGGAAAAGCAACCAACTGGCTTTTATTCAGTCATGACTCACAATATAAAGACTTAATGAGATGAAACTTCAAATCAATCTCCAACAGCTGAACAAAGAGCACGTCCGTATATGATGCTGATTTAGAGAGTGTTTAAGGAGAAAAAATATGTGCATATCTGAAAGTAGAGCAGAAAAGGCCCATAATTCATTATAACAGCTGCTCTTGATCCCTCTTCACGGGACTTTTGGGTTCTGTTGGGTTTCTCGTCCTGACAGGAAGTTCATTCCAGTTAATTGCTTTCACCTGACATCCCAGTCGTAAAATAATCCTCCACAAGACAAGTGCAAAAGACAAAGCAGCTCCTGCTGCTTGGGAACATCTTTGAAGTTGGTGGCAAAAGGAAGGGTATTTAAGTTTAAAGTGATTAAAAGTTGCACTAAAGAACAATGCTGGAAAAGGCTTGCATGCAGAAGTTATTAAAGGGGACATATTGTGCAAATTTCAGATTTTGCATTCTTGTGTTGCTATGTTTGTGACAACACAAATGGGGAAATTAGAACAGAACCATCTCTCATTTGTTGAAGGATTGCTACTCTACTTTGAATGGGATATCAGAGCTTTTCAGCTTATAGCAGCCTGAGTGGGGGATGGGTAGGTGTGGCCAGCTCCAGTTTATTGTTTTAAATCAACAGAGCCCAGAAACAGCTCATTCAGAACTGAATGACTGAAAATGTCATGAATACTGCTGAAATCACTTTATGTGAGAGGTGTTTAGTGAAAATAACTTCACGAAAATGTTTCGTATCAACCACAGAACAATTATAACTTAAGAAAATTATCAAAACACGTCCCCTTTATCTCAAACGAAGGTGTTGAACAGGGTGCGAATGCTGCAATGGAGAGAAGGTCTGTCAAAATGTGTTGTGGGCTTTCAAAGATACGATGTGAACATAAAGTGAACTAATCACATTAACATGCAGAGGGGAAGTCATGAGCAAGCATTTTTGAAAGCACAGGGTCTACATCCTAAACTCCTAATTTCAGTCCTTGGTGGAAGCAAATCACTGCACACCACAATGACACCACAGTCCCTACGGTATGCACCAACAGAGAAAGGCGGCCAAATGCTGTACACATCCAGTTTTAAAAAATACTTTACTATCTTCTATTCACACATGGTTTCTCACAAGCCTGCACAGTGTACAACACCCACTAACACACTCATTTAATCCCCTCACCACTACTCTGTAACACACGTGCACAAACACACACACACACACGCACGCACACACACACACACACACACACGTCTGTCAGGGAGGATCCATTGACTTCCATTAATTTTTGTGAATTCACCATGCCTAACCCATACCCCAACCCTAACCATAACCAATGCTGATCTATTCCTAACCTTAACCTTAACTAAAACGTCATTCACACTATACCTCTAACTGGTATAGTAAGATTCTGGTATGACTCTAAAAAAAAAGTGAGGATCAAAAAAATGTCCTCACTTTGTAGGGAAAATGGTCCTCAGTATGTAGTAAGTACAAGAGCACACACACACACACACACACACACACACACACACACACACACACACACACAGTTCTGATGCTATGTGTTGTTCAGAGCCAGTGTTCTGCTCATTTGCCATATCCACTTTACTGTTATAATTGGCTTAAACAGCACTTTTAGATGCATTAACCTTTGTGTCAAGGTCACATCCTGCAATAAAAAGAAAGAGAAAAATCTCATCAGTCTGCAAGCTGCTTTTAAAGTCTCTTATTAATGAGGTTGTCTGCACACTGCTGCTGAATCACACTATTCTGATGTATTTAATCTCCTTCCAAAAACACTTCAGTGATGCCTCTGTGCCTAAAGGAGGGCCAGAAAATGCCTTTGTGTGTGTGTGTGTGTGTGTGTGTGTGTGTGTGTGTGTGTGTGTGTGTGTGTGTGTGTGTGTGTGTGTGTGTGTGTGTGTGTGTGTGTACCTCACTAAACTTATGTTTATACATTTGTAGTTGAACACCAAAGCAAAAGAAGTAAAGAGATAAAACACCTAAAGAGATGAAACTATATGTTAAGTGTTCGGACTAAAGTTTTAGTAGCTAACATTTAACAAGCAGCTACTTTTGGTTTCTCTCTCCAGTTTGTGTTTACGCAAATTTCCCAACTTGACTAAAGTCAAAGCTAAACTGGACAGTTTGAGTACCTTCTCAGTGGCCTAGTGGCAGAGTGTCCGCCCTCGGACTGGGAGATTGAGGTTTAAATCCCGGTCGCGTCATACCAAAGACTAAAAATGGGACCCAATGCCTCCCTGCTTGACACACACAGGTAGGATTGGGGGGTTAAACCCTAACCCTAACCAAATAGGTCCTGAGCACGGCCACAGCTCACCGCTCCCCACGGGGAGTCACAGTCACAATCAAAGGGACAAAGTCACTTATATAGTTGTGTTACACATATGCTTAAAGCAGCAGTGAGGGAGGCAAATACGGATCTCATTCATAAAATATCTGCACCAATACAGGTGGAAGTAAAAACAAGATTATGGTTTGAAAGTCCATTTATTTCAATAGTTTTACTCGGACTGAGATACCATCTAAAGGCTCTGGAACCCTGCAGGTGTTCTGGACTCATAAGCTGATTAGAGTGTGACACTTTTAGTCTAGAATGTGTTCACAATATTCTAACTGTGTGAGGTTTTGAATTTTGGGGTTCTCATAAGCTGCATGCCATAATCATCACAATTATAACAAATAAAGGGTCGAAATATCTAGCTTTGCATGTAATGAGTCGAATGAGTTTATTAATTCCTCCTTTTAAGTTGAATTACAGACATAATTGAACTTTTGCGCCTTATTCAGTGTTTGAGTTTCACCTGCAGATGTAGTATTTTCTTAATAGGGTCATGTGATTTTTTAAATGGAAAGTCTCAAAAAAGTCTCCCTTGTAATCCATAACACTATATTTTTACTTGTATGCAAGTTAACTATTTTGTTCGTTGGAACATTTCTCCTAAATCTTTGCAGATTTGTAGTAAAAACAGCAAATTTGTCCTTTTAATAAATGATAACTGCAAATTCTGAAGTCCCGTTCATGAACTGAATTCAGACACGTAATGTGTGAAACATCATGTTATCGTGTCACAAATGTGACCGACGTGTGTCCTGTTGTCAGAGTTAGTGTCCGTAGTGTCTACAGGAATGTTTCATCACTAAACAAATCAGCTGTGCTCATGATCTAAAACATGTAGGAAACTTGCTGGAACCAGACTGCAGCAACAGGTATGTCAGCTTCATTTTTTAAGTCCCAACAGATTAGCTGCCAGTTTGAAGTTGCCAGTGGGATATTCTGGCCACAGGAAGCGATTGGGGCTGGGTGGCCTTTCATTAACCCTGTGACGCAGGGCTATTCAATTCCGGGCCTCGAGGGCCGGTATAAAGCACGTTTTAGTGATCTCTCTAGGACCACCACACTAGATTCAGTGGTTGAATCACCTGTGCAGCAGCTCATCAGGCTCTGCAGAAGCCTGTTAAGGTGTGTTGAAGTGGGGTTAAAACCTAAACGTCCTTCATACCGGCCCTCGAGGCCCAGAATTGAATAGCCCTGCTGTAAAGGGTCATTTTAGCACATAGTGGCTCAAGAAAATTATTCAAAAATATGAAAAAGTTGCAAAGTATTCCTTTAAATGAGCTCAATGTCACATGAGTCGTTGAGAGAGAAAGACTGACAATAATTGGAGTTTGAATCTAGTTTTGCAGCAATTAAAGGATATTAGTAAAAATGGCCATTCAGTTCTGACTCTGATGTTATCATAGTAAATACTAAGAATGGGAGATATGACATATTTTCTGAAAGGCATTGGTTATAGTTTTATTATGGCATTGCCACCATTTTTATCAAAATGTAAATACATTTGAGGAGCCTAAAGATTCCCATCCCTACCAAAGACGGTTTCCTCTCGGCCCACTCCAGTTTTACCTGAGCAAACAAGAGCTCCTGCCGCTTTCAGTGTTCACTAGTGTTAACCTACTTGATAACCAAAATAGTATAGTTGATTAAGATGAGTTAATGATTGCCATTAAATATTAGAGACGGGGGTTTCTTTGATGAATTATTTTACAATAATTAATATGAGTCTAAAAAGTCAGTTATTGTTGCAGAAAATGCTTTAAGTAATCATGTTTTACTCCATGTTCTATTCTCTTTATCCTAGAAGGCATAAAACACCACCCAATCAGTCTGATGGGACCATTCAAACACATCTAACACACAAAGATATAAATACATAACAAACAGATCCCATGTGATGTCCCACTG